CGGGCGGCTGCCGCCGGAGGGGCGGGGGGGCCCTCCCGGAGCGAGGGAAGGGAAGGGGGAGAGGCCGGCCTGCTCCCCTCTCCTGCTTTACCTTCTTCCCTGCCTTGCCTTCCGCGCCCTTCTCCATTTTCCTCTCTCTCCTCGCGGTGCTGCTCTATTTCCCCCCTCTCCACGAGGATCGGTTTCAAAACAGCGTCCAGAAAGAACAAAGCTGGGCCGGAAGAAAGTGAAACTCTCGCAGCCGCGTTTGAGTTTGTCCAGCCGGGAGATCAAGGCGGGATTTGCGTGCCCGCTTGAGGGATAGCCGCCTGTGCCCCTTAGCAGTGCTTAGCAGCCGCTGGAGGTTTGATTGCTCTTTTGAAATACAGCGATTGTTACTAGAAGGGAGAAAACAACGCGTTTGCTGTGGGTGTCCCCAAAATTCTTGGCGTAGTTGGATCCGTTAGTATGGTAATTGATGCCAGTTCGGGTGGAATGTTACTGCATTAATTGTTATGTACCGTGTCCTCTTATGACACTCGCTATAGAGTGGGGGGGGAAGCAATGCTTTTTCTCCGTAATAGTTGTATTGTAGCAAAATTCCGTAAGGACTAAATATGTGCAGCAACTTAGTGAAATACTTTTTCATAGCGAATTGAAATAATTAAAAAGTGTGTATTGCACAGGTTCTTACTTATTGCTTGGATGTTTTTAGTAAACTGCTAGCTTTCTCCATTTCTGTTTTGCCGTTTATCGTGTCCCTTTTGTGTTTATCAGCTGCGAAACATTTGTAGAGCATATGTGAGTTAGAGCACTCTTATGTTGTTAATTATTGTAGAATTTGTATGGAAGTCCCTGTAAGGTCTAGTTGTATAAAATGCAAGCATGAGTTTTCAAACTTGCTGCCTGGAGTGCTTGCACCAAAGCTGTTCAGCAAATAACAGTACCATGGGCACGATGGAATGAATTAGGACCGTTACTGTGGTTAAAAGTATAAATAGCTTCAAATTAAATTTTTTTTCTTTTTTAGTGAATTTTCTTTTCTCTTTCTGGTAGTTTATTTTACTGTAAGAACAGTCAGGGAGGACTGTTACTTCCAAACTTTTTAAAACAATGTGGGTCCTATTGAGGCTTTCACCATAAGCTTGCGATTAGATGGTACATTCTTCTTAGAGGTGGTTTCATTGTGAGATCTTGATGTTGGTTGTCGTAGTTGCCTTCTGCCGTCATTGACTATATGCACTGCAGATTCTTTCCCAACCGATGAGAAAGAGAAATGAATAGCAGTAACTCTTTCATACCACATAAATATGGTATTACATCAGTCTTTCTCATACAGGTTATTGTCTTCAAATGACATAAAAATAGATGTAAAGAAGCTGATGTGATTCAGAAACCTCTCCATTGAGGAGATGGTAGTTGTTCCAAGTGTAGTTACAGATCTGTTCAACAGTTTTGTGCTCAGCTCTCTTAAAGCCACCTCTTTGGAAAAGCTATCCTAAGGGCATGAATGGTTGCTCACTCAAGTTTTGTTCTATTTGATGTGGTTGTAAGTATTGATTATTCTATGGAAATGAGTTTGTGTGACTGGTTTATTCTTGTGCTCTTTCTTTGGATCTTACGGTTGACGTTTGCATGTTGCAAAAGCATGATCAAGAGTTACATGAGGTACTTGAATGACAATAATTCTTAGATCCTCCTTTTCACTTTCTGCCCACCTTTGCTAGTGCATCCTGCATTGAATTGACTAATACGTGTCACTTCTCAGTTTACACTTCTATTGTAGAGTTACGCTGAAGACTGGTTTCAAAATGCCAGGGTATATCTTAAGCATCCTGAGTCCTGAGTGTTTCAGAAAAGCCTAGTGTGTTGCTTAACAATGAACTGCTCAAACACTTTTTTCCCAAAAAAATGTTTTGCTACATGCATCCTCTACCAACTGCTTCTAAAAAGATGGGTGGCCATATTGATTGTAGATTTTTAATTTTTTTTTTAATTTGGTGATGTTTTGTAACACCTTAGATAGTGAAAAACCATATAAGATATTTGTGATGTTCTAGGTCTGAAGACTTGCGTCGTGAATTTGGTCGTTATGGGCCTATAGTTGATGTATACGTTCCACTTGACTTCTACACTCGTCGTCCCAGAGGATTTGCTTATGTTCAATATCCTTTCTTCAGATGGCTGATTAGTGAGGGGTGTTGAAGTTTGAAATTCAAGTTTATGTAAGAGGTAACAAATCTAAATGAAAAAGCAGTTTACTTTTGTGTTGTATCTAATAAGTGTCTTACTTATATTGTGGTGTTTCATTATTTTTGAAGATTAACTTCTCTCAATTGTTCTTTGCCTTTTTGCAAAACTTAAGTCCAGTAATATAAAAGCTTGCTTATGTCACTGAAATTAATACTATATGATTTAAATGAAAATTTATCACTGACTCAAAATTGTCTAGCACGTTTTTATTATCACTGGTATGTAAGTAAACTTGTGCTTAGCAAACTGTGGCTGGTATTCATTGTTAATTTAACAAATGGAAACTGGAATCACTTGATCAAAATCAGATTGTATAAAAAATGAGGTGAACTTCTTTCTTTAATATTGTCCCCTAATTTACTGTCCTCTGTTGTTGCCTCAGAATGTAAAGCTGTACAGTAATGGCGACCCCAAAGAGAAAGCATGAAAGAACCTTTAGAGTAGAGTTCAACAATTAAGGCAAGTAGACAAGCCAAAGACCTCTTAAGGATCAGGCTTGAAGAGAAGGGAGAGTTTGGGAAAAGAAAAAATAAAGAAAAGCTGGAAGAAGGACAAGCCATAATGGGAGACAAAGCTTCGCTTTATCTACAAAAGGGGGAAAAGGTTGTTTTTCAAAGTAAAAGATAAAGCCATCTGTCATTTTTGGCCAAGCATCTCATGACAAGTCCTTCTGACAAGCACTTAAAGAGTTAAAGGTCAAGATGAAGTTGAATGGTGGCCAAGATTAAAGGAGTCATACCTGATGTATCCTACAGAATAACAGTTTTTCTTCTGTTTGTCATGTAAGCAGTAATTTGATGAATGATTCTGGTTTAGTCCATTGACAAAACCTGTAATTTTTCTCTCGTGAGTGCTGTTGTAACTGTGGTCTTGAATGAAAGTGCATTCGTTCTTGGTTTATCAAGATATATACCTACAACATGATAGTTTAGTTTTTGCATAGATGATGCTGATGATGAACTGAGTTGCTGCAAGGAGAAAGGCAATTCGTTCTTTCAGGTCACGTAGCTGGAAGAAGGTGTGTGACTTACAGTAGTGGTCAATCTTGGGGATTAAAATTAGTAATGTCTGTGTTACTGAACATCTGACCTGACTGATAGCATAGGGGTTTTAGTGTATGCTTTTATCTCAGACTGTTGAAGGTCTGTATACATGTCCATGGCATTACATAATTTAAACTTAAAGTCAGTTGGTGAAAAAAAGGAAAGCTTTATCCCAGTTCTAAAATTAATAGACACATGTTGATTTTTACTGTTGGTATGCCTAACATAATTTAAGAACTAGGGTTTAATTTTGGTAAAGTCAATGTAGTGGAGAGAACTGAATGACCATTAACAAATGTATTTTGAAAAGGATACCCGTTTTTTTCTTGCATAAGTACAAGTGGGAGAAGAAAAAAGTTAGAGTATTGCATAGCAACTGCTTGCTGATGGATAAGCTCATGGTCGTATTATGAGATTTTAATTTTGTTATAGGAGTTCTCAGATAGCTGGTGGTTAATTAAAGAAAAATAAATTTACTAGTGTGTATTGTAGCATGACCAAAAGAACTTTAAAAAAATAAAAAACCCAACAAAACCCTGTAAAATTAGAAAATAACTGATTAATTTTTTTTATTTTAAATACCAAATCTGTAAACTACTCAAATTCCCAAGTACCTTAACACTCACCACATTTGAAGATGTCCGTGATGCAGAAGATGCTCTCCATAATTTGGATCGAAAGTGGATTTGTGGTCGGCAAATAGAAATCCAGTTTGCACAGGGGGAT